AAGAGAACTTTCTTAATTGGTTCAACCATTCTGGAGATTGTTTAGTAAGATCTAGTGAAGTCGAAGGGGTGAACAATTCCACCTTTAAGTATGTAGCCTAGATAATCTTCAAAGGAACAGGAGAGGGTTGTTTATTGCGGCATTGTTGGTAACTATTGAAAAATTGGAAATAACCTAATTGTTTTCAACAGATGACATCAACAGATGACAACAGATGGACTGGTAATTTGTGGTATAGTCATGCAATGCATTTAAAATGAACGAAATAGGGGAGATCAAAGATGGTGGTGGACTGAGTGGAAGCTACACTGACACTCTCCTGGGATGAAACTGGAATTACAAATAAAATATAGAAAAACCATCCTGAATAATCAACTGCAACTGAAGACGAGCTGGAGAGCACCCTCATAAACGAGGAAAAGTGGAGACTGCATAGAGACCAGTAGGAAGTGTGAAGGCTTGATAGGGCTGGCTGGGCTCCCACAGGAAGCAGCTGAAGGTCCAGAGGGAGATCTCAGCTTTCAGGGTTCCCACTGAGGACTCTGGGGTCTAAAACCCAAGTTGGGATGCCCAGCCAAGAGAACCAGAACTGAGAAAGGTGCTCACATAACATCTGGCTGTGAAAAGCAGCAGGGATTCTGTCTGCCAGGGAGAGATGGCTAGAAATGCAGGCACCCTCTTAAAGAGCCAACACACAACTTTAGTGTGCAGCCACTCACCTTGGGCTCCAGCAGAAGGAGGTCAAAGTGGACTGGAGCTGTGTGAGGAGATTCTAGGGTTGTGGGCTCTAGAGATTCCTGTGCTGGGTCATTCCCCCATATGACAGAGGACTTCTTTCACGGACAGATATTTACGTTCCAAGCAGCTTTTGCCTGAGGGGGAAGCAATTGCCCCACCCTGCTGCAAAACCTCTCACCCTATTGTGTGGAGTTTCTACAGCCTGAGGCTCATTAAGAGAATCAGATTAATCAGCCTGCAGGCAGAGACAGACCTCAGAGTGCTTTGAGTCTTTGCCTGATCTGCTTCTGGACCCAGGCCTTGGAAAAGCAGACTTTGGTGTGCATCTTGGTCCTGTCCAAATGCACCAAGCCCCAACAGAGGGAACCTTAAGCCATGGGTTGTTGATAGCTCCAAACAGCGTACTCAAGGCCAGTCACAAACAGTGTCTGACATTGGCCTGCACCAGAAACCATCCTAAAAGACTGAGAGTCCTAGGAAGCCTACCTAATCTATAGAAACAAACCCCAAAAGGCAGCAAAAATGGGGAGACAAAAAAACAAGCCCCAAATGAAAGAACAAGAGACGTCTCCAGAAAAAGGACTAAATGAAATGGAGATAAGCAATCTATCAGATATAGAGTTCAGAATACTGATTGTAAGGATGCTCAACCGTATGAAAAAAGACATGGAAACTATGAAGGAAATGAAAAATGACATAGCAGAAATAAAGAATACTTTGGAACAGCAGGTTAGAGGAAGTTGAGGACAGGATCAGTGAATTAGAAGAAAGGATAGGAAAAAATCAATCAGAGATCCAAAAAAACAACAATTAAAAAACAGGAGGACAGTTTAAGGGAGCTGTGGGACAACATGACGTGGAACAATATTGGTATCATGGGAGTGCCAGAATAGGTCGAAAATAAGCAAAGGTTAGAGAATCTGTTTGAAGAAATAGTGGCAGAATACTTCCCTAACCTGGTGAAGGAAAAAGTCACACAAGTTCAGGAGGCACAGAGAGTCTCAAGCCAGAAGAATCCAAAGAGGCCCATGCCCTGGCACATCATAATTAAAATACCAAGAATTCAAGACAAAAAGAGAATCTTAAAGGCAGCAAGAGAAAAGTAATCTATTACCTACAAAGGAGCTCCCATAAGGCTTTCAGTTGACTTCTCATCAGAAACTTTATAGGCCAGAAGGGAATGACATGAAGTATTCAAGGTAATGCAAAACAAGGATCTGAAATCAAGACTACTCTATCCAGCAAGGTTATCATTCAAAATGGGTGATAAAATAAATAGCTTCCCAGAAAAAAAAAGGTTAAGGGAGTTTATCACCACCAAACCAGCATTGCAAGAAATATTAAAGGGACTGCTGTAATTAGAAGTAGAAATAGAAAAGAGAAGCATAGGCATAAAGAAATAAAATGGCAATAGATAAGTACCTATCAGTAATAACCTTAAATATAAATGGATTNATTAAAGGGACTGCTTTAATTAGATGTAGAAATAGAAGCATTGCAAGAAATGTTAAAGGGACTGCTGTAATAATAAGAAATATAGAAAGAAATATAAGCATAAAAAATTAAAATGGCAATAAGTAAGGGCCTGTCAATAAAAACCTTAAGTACTTTAAGGGAGAGATCAACAATAATACAGTCATAGTTGTGGACTTGAACACCCCACTGACTTCACTAAATAGATCTTCCAGACAAAAGTCAACACAGAAACAGTGACTAAATGGTACACTAGATCAGATGGATTTAATTGATATTTACAGAACATTTCACCCCAAAGCTGCAGAATATACATTCCTCTCAAGTACACATGGGTCATGCTCAAAGATAGACCACATGTTAGGACATAAAATCAGCCTCTACAAGTTCAAGAAGATTGAAATCATATCAAGCATCTCAGATCACAAGGGCATGGAATTAGAAATCAACTACAGTAAAAACACTCAAAAACATTCAAACAGATGGAGGTTAAACAACATGTTATTAAACAATGAATGGGTTCCCAATAAAATCATGATAGAAATAAAAAAACTTCCTGGAAATAAATGAAAATGAACACACAACAACCCCAAATCTATGGGACACAGTGAAAGTCCTAAGAGGAAAGTTCATAGCACTACAGGCCTACCTCAAAAAGCAAGAAAAGTTTTTAGTAAACTAACCCTATAACTTAAAGAATTAGAAAGCTCACCTGTGAAGCTGTTGGGACTAGGGCTTTTGTTTGCTGGGAGTTTATTTTATTACTGCTTCCATTTCATCAGTTGTTATTAGCCTATTCAGGTTTTCTGACTCTTCCTGATT